CCTCCTCCTCCTCCCCTCCTCCTCCTCCTCCCCTCCTCCTCCTCCGTCCCTGCCCCTCCACTTCCTCCTCTTCCCCCTCCCCCTCCTCCTCCTCCCCTGCCCCTCCCACCCCGCCTCGCCCCGCCCACTCCTCCCCGCCTCGCTCCGCCCACCTGTGCAGACGCCCCGAATTCTCACTCCCGCTGACCTCTCACCCTTCCCCCCTCCCTCCTCTCCCCCCTCCCCCCCTTCCCCGGCGTCCGTCGAGGGTGAGAGACTGACACTAAAACACCAATTACGCATTAATGAGGAAAGTGTGAGGGAGATGGATGCGGCGAGGGGAAGCGAGGAGGACGCAGGGAGGAGGAGAGGGAAGGGATGGAATGAGGAAGGGAGAGGGGAGAGAGAAGCGAGAGGAAGAGAGAGTGGAAGAGAGAGAGGGAGAGAGAGAGAGAGAGAGAGAGAGAGAGAGAGAGAGAGAGAGAGAGAGAGAGTGAGAGACAAGCGAGAGGAAGAGAGAGAGTGAGAGACAAGCGAGAGGAAGAGAGAGAGAGAGAGAGAGAGAGAGAGAGAGAGAGAGAGAGAGGGAGAGAGAGAGAGAGAGATAGAGAGAGAGAGAGAGAGAGAAGCGAGAGAGACAGAGAGAGAGAGAGGGAGAGAAACAAGAGGAAGAGAGAGAGAGAGAGAGAGAGAGAGAGAGAGAGAGAGAGAGAGAGAGAGTGAGAGACAAGCGAGAGGAAGAGAGAGAGTGAGAGACAAGCGAGAGGAAGAGAGAGAGAGAGAGAGAGAGAGGGAGAGAAACAAGAGGAAGGAGGAGAGAGAGAGAGGAGAGAGAGAAGGTGGATAAACGGGTGGATGTACCTGTAGCTGTGAAGGATGAGATACAATAAAGGCGGGGGGGGGGGTAGGAGGAAGGCGGGGGAGTGGGAGAAGTAGGGGGGGAGAAGGAAGGAAGGAGTGGGAAGGCATTGGTAGGTGAGAGGGTGAGGAGGGGAGGAGGGGGGGGAGTAGGAGGAGGGGAGGAGGGGGGCGGGGGAGGGGGAGGGTGTCTTTCCACAGCGGCGACGCACCTTCTATCGGCCGCCTCTGCCGCGACGGCCTCCCACAGATCCCCCCCCCCAGTGTGTGTCACCCCCCCCCCGGAGCCTTCCGCCTCCTCTCCTCATCCAGCCCGCCTCGCCTCCGCCTGCTCATTTCGCTCTTCCCTTGCCCGCCCTGTCTTCTGTCCTCCTCTCTTCTGCGGTCGGACCACTTTCCACTCCTCCGGCGCCCGTCTACTCTCGCAGCTCACCTCTCAGCAGGGGCAAATGTGAAACTGGCCCCAACACACTATGCCCATAGAACAGCACGCGGACCTTAGTATCTGCAAGCACGCCCAAAACCGCCCCACTCCATCCCCTCATCACACACCACCCTCACCACACCCCTCCCCACCGCCAACCCCACCTCCACACACACCTCACACACTCAGCACCCTCACAACACACATGCCCACCTTGCACAACACTATCCCCACCCCCCCGCCCAACACCACCCACACCTACCACCCCCATAATTCAAACCCAACTACACAGATACTAATAAATAAACCAAAAATCAATAGAAATCACACTAAAAACTAGTTCAGTAAAACGGTTAAAGAAAGCAGAAATGAGTCTCCACGCACAGAATTCAGAACAGAAATTAATTAAAAAAATCATCCCTTCCTACTCCCTCCCCCTCACTCCCGTCTCTTCCCCTCTCTCACTCCGCCCATCTCCCCTCTCCTCCCTCCTACCTTATCATACTCATACTCTTGAACCGCAATTCAGGGGACATTAGAGAGAGAGAGAGAGAGAGAGAGAGAGAGAGAGAGAGAGAGAGAGAGAGAGAGAGAGAGAGAGAGAGAAGCGAGAGAGACAGAGAGAGAGAGAGGGAGAGAAACAAGAGGAAGAGAGAGAGAGAGAGAGAGAGAGAGGTGGATAACGGGGTGGATGTACCTGTAGCTGTGAAGGATGAGATACAATAAAGGCGGGGGGGGGGGGGGGGGGTTAGGAGGAAGGAGGGGGAGGTGGGAGTAGGAGGGGGGGAGAAGGAAGGAGGAGTGGGAAGGCATTGGTAGGGGAGAGGGTGGAGGAGGAGGAGGAGGGGGGAGGAGGAGGAGGAGGAGGGGGGGAGGAGGAGGAGGAGGAGGGGGAGGGTGGAGGAGGAGGAATAGGAGGATAAGGAGGAGGAAGAAGAGGAAGAGTAGGAAGAAACTGAAAAAAGGGGGGGGGATAAAAAAAGAAAATGTGAAAAAGAAGAAGTAGTAGAAGAGGAAATGCAAGAAGAAGAAGAAGGAAAAAGAGATGAAGAAGGAGAAGGAGAAGGGAAAGGGAAAAAAAGGAGGAGGAAGAAGAGGAGGAGGAGGAGGTACTCGGGCCTCGAAGCAGGACTCGCGCGCTGCTATACGAGATGATTGCTTTGGTTAAGGGAAAAGTACTCTTGCACATAGTTCTGAAAGCGGACATTTGTATATGCTTGCACGCACAACGCACATAGTCATACACATACATATACACACTCACACTCACAGACACTCACACTTACACTCACACTTACACTCACTCTCACTCTCACTCACTCACTCACTCACTCACTCACTCACTCACTCACTCACTCACCCCCCCCCCTTCACACACACACATACACACTTTTCTAAACCCAACTTCACAGATTACAAATAAAGAAACAAATAAATAAATAGATAAAAATTAAAACTAGTCTGTAAAACGGTTAAAGAAACAGAAAGGAGTCTCACGCACAGAATTCAAAACATGATATTTAAAAAAATCTTCCCTTCCCCTCCCCCTCTCCCCTCTCTTCCCCTCTCTCCCCTTCTCCCTCCCTCCTACCTTTCATACTCTTACTCTTGACCGCAATTCAGGGGACATTAGAGAGAGAGAGAGAGAGAGACAGAGAGAGAGAGAGAGAGAGAGAGAGAGAGCGAGAGAGGTGAGAAGAGGAGAGAGAGAGAGAGATAGAGGAGAGAGAGAAGGAGAAGGATGAGAAGGAGAGGAGAGAGAGGAGAAGTGTGTGTGTGTGTGTGTGTGTGTGTGTGTGTGTGTGTGTGTGTGTGTGTGTGTGTGTGTGTGTGTGTGTGTGTGTGTGTGTGTGTGTGTGTGTGTGTGTGTGTGTGTGTGTGTGTGTGTGTGTGTGTGTGTGTGTGTGTGTGTGTGTGTGTGTGTGTGTGTGTGTGTGTGTGTGTGTGTGTGTGTGTGTGTGTGTGTGTGTGTGTGTGTGTGTGTGTGTGTGTGTGTGTGTGTGTGTGTGTGTGTGTGTGTGTGTGTGTGTGTGTGTGTGTGTGTGTGTGTGTGTGTGTGTGTGTGTGTGTGTGTGTGTGTGTGTGTGTGTGTGTGTGTGTGTGTGTGTGTGTGTGTGTGTGTGTGTGTGTGTGTGTGTGTGTGTGTGTGTGTGTGTGTGTGTGTGTGTGTGTGTGTGTGTGTGTGTGTGTGTGTGTGTGTGTGTGTGTGTGTGTGTGTGTGTGTGTGTGTGTGTGTGTGTGTGTGTGTGTGTGTGTGTGTGTGTGTGTGTGTGTGTGTGTGTGTGTGTGTGTGTGTGTGTGTGTGTGTGTGTGTGTGTGTGTGTGTGTGTGTGTGTGTGTGTGTGTGTGTGTGTGTGTGTGTGTGTGTGTGTGTGTGTGTGTGTGTGTGTGTGTGTGTGTGTGTGTGTGTGTGTGTGTGTGTGTGTGTGTGTGTGTGTGTGTGTGTGTGTGTGTGTGTGTGTGTGTGTGTGTGTGTGTGTGTGTGTGTGTGTGTGTGTGTGTGTGTGTGTGTGTGTGTGTGTGTGTGTGTGTGTGTGTGTGTGTGTGTGTGTGTGTGTGTGTGTGTGTGTGTGTGTGTGTGTGTGTGTGTGTGTGTGTGTGTGTGTGTGTGTGTGTGTGTGTGTGTGTGTGTGTGTGTGTGTGTGTGTGTGTGTGTGTGTGTGTGTGTGTGTGTGTGTGTGTGTGTGTGTGTGTGTGTGTGTGTGTGTGTGTGTGTGTGTGTGTGTGTGTGTGTGTGTGTGTGTGTGTGTGTGTGTGTGTGTGTGTGTGTGTGTGTGTGTGTGTGTGTGTGTGTGTGTGTGTGTGTGTGTGTGTGTGTGTGTGTGTGTGTGTGTGTGTGTGTGTGTGTGTGTGTGTGTGTGTGTGTGTGTGTGTGTGTGTGTGTGTGTGTGTGTGTGTGTGTGTGTGTGTGTGTGTGTGTGTGTGTGTGTGTGTGTGTGTGTGTGTGTGTGTGTGTGTGTGTGTGTGTGTGTGTGTGTGTGTGTGTGTGTGTGTGTGTGTGTGTGTGTGTGTGTGTGTGTGTGTGTGTGTGTGTGTGTGTGTGTGTGTGTGTGTGTGTGTATTGTGCATTGCGTAGGTTCAGCTAATTCCATTTCATTATGACGAGAAAATGTGCACAAGAATATATCCTTACCCCCGGGCCCCGGTGAACCCCCATCACTTTTCCCTCCCCTCAACCCCCTAATTTTTCCCTTTTATTCTTCCTCCATCCCTTGAAATCCACAGAAGCATAAAAAAAAGGGGAGAGCCGGTGACATTTGAAAGGTTACGACAACGATAATGAAAACAGCAACACCGACAACAATAGTAATAATGATAATGATATTGGATATAAAAATGATGATGATAGTGATAATGCCAGTAATAATAGTGATGATGATAATGATGATAATAATAAATATAATGATAGTGGTAATAATAATGATAATGATAATAATGATGATAATAATAGTGATAATAATGATGATAATAATAGTGATAGTAATAACGATGATAATAATGATTATTATAATAAGATAATGATAAGAATAATGATAAAGATAGTGGCGATAATAATAGTGATAATGATGATAATAATAGTAATAATAATTATGATAATGATAATAATTATCATAATAAGATAATGATAATAAACATAGTAATAACACTGCAACTACCACCGTCCCTACTAATACTAATAACGAAAAGCAATAACAAAAATTAACAACAATAACACTCCTTTTTCTCTCTCCTCCGCCAGACGCTCCTGGTGGGCAACAGCGACACGTACACGGAGGTCAAGAACGTGCTGGAGCGGCCCCTCTTCGCCTCCAGGGTCAGACTCGAGCCCTTCTCCGCTCACCCGAGGGTCGTCTGCGTCAGGCTCGAGTTCTACGGCTGCAACTACACAGGTGAGCTGGAGGGGGGGGGGGGGTGGAGGTGGGGGTGGGAGGGAGGATTGGGAGGGGGAGAGTGGAGGGGGAGGTGGGATAGGTGGAGGGAGGGAGGTGAGGAGGGGGAGAGTGGAGGGGGGGAGGTGGAAGGGGGAGTGGGGTGGGGAGGGTAAGAGGTGGGTGGGGGGAGGGGATTGAAGGAGGGGGTGGAGGTGGGGGGGGAGGGAGGGGGGTAAGAAGGGGAGAAGGTAGGGGGGAGGGAACGTGGGATGGGTGGGTAAGAGGGGGGTGGAGGTGGGGGAGGGGGAGGGAGGGTGGGGAGGAAGGAGGAGGGAGGGAAGGTGGGGTGGGAAGGTAAGAGGGGGTGGAGGTGGGGGAGGGAGGGTGGGGGAAGAAGGAGGGGAAAAAGGAGGAGGCGGGGAGGAGGGGGAGAGTTTGGATAGGGAGAAGGCGAGACAGGAGTGGAAGGCGAGAGATTGAGGGGAGAAAGATGAAAAAAGGGAGAAAGATAGTAGGGAAGGACTGAAGGGAGAGGGAGAGAGAGAGAGAGAGAGAGAGAGAGAGAGAGAGAGAGAGAGAGAGAGAGAGAGAGAGAGAGAGAGAGAAGGAGAAGGAGAGAAGGAGAGAGAGAGAGAGAGACAGAGAGAGAAGGCTCGTAAGGGAGAGAGGAGAGAGAGAGAGGAGAGAGAGGAGAGAGAGAGAGAGGAAGGAGAGAGAGAGAGAGAGAGAGGAGAGAGAGAGAGAGTGAGAGAGAGAGAGAGAGAGGAGAGAGAGAGAGGAGAGAGAAGGAGAGAGAGAAGAGAGAGAGAGAAGAGAGAGAGAGAGAAGGAGAAGGAGAGAGAGAGAGAGATGAGAAGGAAAAGGGAGAAGGAGAGAGAGAGAGAAGAGAGAGAGAGAGGAGAGAGAGAAGGAGAGAGAGAGAGAGGAGAGAGAGAGAGGAGAGAGAGGAGAGAGAGAGAGGAGAGAGAGAAGGAGAAGGAGAGAGAGAGAGGAAGGAGAGAGAGAAGAGAAGGAGAGAGAGAGAGAGGAAGGAGAGAGAGAGAAGAGAGAGAGAGAAGGAGAGAGAGGAGAGAGAGAGAGAGATAGAGAGAGAGAGAGAGAAGGAGAGAGAGAGAGAAGAGAGAGAGAGAGAGGAGAGAGAGAGAGAGAGAGGAGAGAGAGAAGGAGAGAGAGAAGGAGAGAGAGAAGAGAGAGAGAGAAGAGAGAGAGAGAGAAGGAGAAGGAGAGAGAGAGGAGAGAGAGGAGAGAGAGAGAGAGAGGAGAGGGAGGGAGTAAATAGAGGGAGAGCGAGAAGGAATAGAAGAGAAGGGGGAGGGAAAGAGAGAGGAGAGAGAGAGAGGAGAGAGAGAGAGAAGGAGAGAGAGAAGGAGAGAGAGAGAGAGAGAGAGGAGAGAGGGAGGAGGAGGGAATGACTGTGAGAGAAAAAGGAAGAGAGAATTAGAAGGAAGGAGAGAGAGAGGATGCATCCCTCCTCTCCTACTCTCCGTTGCCTCACTCTATATTCTCCGCTTCCGGCAGTAGGTGAAAGTGGTGGGCCCGGGGACGAAAAAGGAATTCAGTTCGGGCTACTCTTTACCGGCTCTGATTTCACATTTAATTTTTTTTTTTAAGGGTAGGAAACAGGGATTGTATCGAGGAATTACACTTTTGGTATTTACGTTTGTGATTTTGTATATCCACAGTTATTCTTGTGTTTATTTTCCATGTTTCCGTGTGCGTTTTTGTTTTTTCTTTTCTTTTCTTTGTTTATTTTTATATTTTTATTATTTTTTTTTATTTTTTTTTATTTTTTATTTATTTATATATATTTTTAAATTCTCGGTGGACATGGGTTTGTCTTTCATTCTGTTTCGTGATTTTCTTTTGTTTTTGTATTTTATTAAGTGGTTTCATGTACCTGATTAATTGGAATATCGAAATGAGCATGTATCTGTATTTCCTTTCTAAGTTTTTTTTTTTTCTCAGAAGTAAAGATGAAAAAAAAATGTATATATGTATCGATATGAACAGAATATATATTTTTCTCTTTCACACTCTTTTCCTTTTCGCCAAATTCGTTACTACCCCTTACGTCCACCTACTCTCTTTTTCTCCTCCATATCTATACTGTTCTGTATATCTAGATAATCTATATCTCTGCCTCTCTACATCTCTCTCTCTTCTCTCTCTCTCTCTCTCTCTCTCTCTCCCTCTCCCTCTCCCTCTCCCTCTCTCTCTCTCTCTCTCTCCCTCTCCCTCTCCCCTCCCTCTGCAACTACCACCGTTACTACTAGTAATAACGAAAAGCAATAACAAAAATTAACAATAACACTCCTCTTTCTCTCTCCTCCGCCAGACGCTCCTGGTGGGCAACAGCGACACGTACACGGAGGTCAAGAACGTGCTGGAGCGGCCCCTCTTCGCCTCCAGGGTCAGACTCGAGCCCTTCTCCGCTCACACCGAGGGTCGTCTGCGTCAGGCTCGAGTTCTACGGCTGTAAAACTACACAGGGCGCTGGAGGGACGGGTGGGGGGGGGGGGTGGAGGGTGGAGGTGGGGATGGTGGAGGTGGGGTGGGAGGGAGGGTTGGGGTGGTGGAGAAGGTGGAGGGGGAGGGGGATAGGTGGAGGGAGGGAGGTGAGGAGGGGGAGAGTAGAGGGGGGGAGGTGGAAGGGGGGGTGGGGGTGGGGTAAGCGGGGGGGGAGGGTTGGGGAGGGGAATAAGAGGGGGTGGAGGTGGGGGAGGGAGGGTGGGGAGGAAGGAGGAGGAGGGAAGGTGGGGTGGAAGGTAAGAGGGGGTGGAGGTGGGGGAGGGAGGGTGGGGGAAGAAGGAGGGGAAAAAGGAGGAGGCGGGGAGGAGGGGGAGAGGTTGGATAGGGGAGAGGCGACAGAGTGGAAGGCGAGAGATTGAGAGAGAGAGAGAGAAGGAGAAGGAGAGAGAGAGAGGAGAGAGAGAGAGAGAGACAGAGAGAGAAGGAGAAGGAGAGAGAGAGAGAGAGAGAGGAGAGAGAGAGAGAGGAGAAGGAGAGAGAGAGAGAGAGAGAGAGAGAGAGAGAGAGAGAGAGAGAGATAGAGAGAGAGAGAGAGAGAGAGAAGGAGAGAGAGAGAGAGAGAGAAGGAGAGAGAGAAGGAGAAGGAGAGATAGAGAGAGAGAAGGAGAGAGAGAGAGAGAGAGAGAGAGAAGGAGAGGAGAGAGAGAGAGAGAGAGGAGAGAGAGAGAGAGAGAGAGAGAGAGAGAGAAGGAGAAGGAGAGAGAGAGAGAAGGAGAGAGAGAAGGAGAAGGAGAGAGAGAGAGAGAGAGAAAAGGAGAGAGAGAAGGAGAAGGAGAGATAGAGAAAGAGAAGGAGAGAGAGAGAGAGAGAGAAGGAGAGAAAAGGAGAGAGAAGGAGAGAAGGAGAGAGAGAGAGGGAGAGAGGGAGGGAGGGAGGGAGTAAATAGAGGGAGAGAGAGAGAGAGGGAGAGGGAGGGAGTAAATAGAGGGAGAGCGAGAAGGAATGGAAGAGAAGGGGGAGGGAAAGAGAGAGGGAGAGGGAGGGAGGGGGAGAGGGGAATGAAGAGAAAGGGGAGGGAGAGAGGGAGGAGGAGGGAATGACTGTGAGAGAAAAAGGAAGAGAGAATTAGAAGGAGAGAGAGAGGATGCCTCCCTCCTCTCCTACTCTCCGTTTCCTCATCCTCTCTTCTCCGCTTCCTCGGCCGTAGGTGAAAGTGTGGGCCCGGGGACGAAAAAGGAATTCAGTTCGGGCTACTCTTTACCCGGCTCTGATTTCACATTTAATTTTTTTTTTAAGGGTAGAAAACAGGGATTGTATCGAGGAATTACACTTTTGGTATTTACGTTTGTGATTTTGTATATCCACAGTTATTCTTGTGTTTATTTTCCCTGTTTCCGTGTGCGTTTTTGTTTTTCTTTTCTTTTCTTTTTTTATTTTTATATATTTTTATTATTTTTTTTTATTTTTTTTTATTTTTTATTTATTTATATATATTTTTAAATTCTCGGTGGACATGGGTTTGTCTTTCATTCTGTTTCGTGATTTTCTTTTGTTTTTGTATTTTATTAAGTGGTTTCATGTACCTGATTAATTGGAATATCGAAATGAGCATGTATCTTGTATTTCCTTTCATAAGTTTTTTTTTTTTCTCAGAAGTAAAGATGAAAAAAAAAATGTATATATGTATCGATATGAACAGAATATATATTTTCTCTTTCACACTCTTTTCCTTTTCGTCTACTTCGTTCTCCCCTTCTCCCCTACTCTCTTTTTCTCCCCATCTATCTGTCTGTCTATCTATATATCCATCTCTGCTTCTCTACATCTCTCTCTCTCTCTCTCTCTCTCTCTCTCTCTCTCTCTCCCTCCCTCCCCCTCTCCCCCTCTCTCCCTCTCTCCCTCTCCCTCTCCCTCTCCCTCTGCAACTACCACCGTTACTACTAGTAATAACGAAAAGCAATAACAAAATTAACAATAACACTCCTTTTTCTCTCTCCTCCGCCAGACGCTCCTGGTGGGCAACAGCGACACGTACACGGAGGTCAAGAACGTGCTGGAGCGGCCCCTCTTCGCCTCCAGGGTCAGACTCGAGCCCTTCTCCGCTCACCCGAGGGTCGTCTGCGTCAGGCTCGAGTTCTACGGCTGCAACTACACAGGTGAGCTGGAGGGGGGGGGGGGGTGGAGGTGGGGGTGGGAGGGAGGATTGGGGAGGGGGAGAGTGGAGGGGGAGGTGGGATAGGTGGAGGGAGGGAGGTGAGGAGGGGGAGAGTGGAGGGGGGGAGGTGGAAGGGGGAGTGGGGTGGGGAGGGTAAGAGGTGGGTGGGGGAGGGGATTGAAGGAGGGGGTGGAGGTGGGTGGGGAGGGAGGGGGGTAAGAAGGGGAGAAGGTAGGGGGAGGG